TCTTCGATGCCTCTTTTCGCCAGATTAGTAAGATAGCCATTCCATTGCAAGCCAGATAAGATTGTTGTGTTAATCAGATTAATAGTTTGCTATGGATAAGAATATTCTTGTTTATTATGGGATAAACTATGGGATTGCCAGACTTACCTGATTTCATCATTGACTGGGTATTTATTAGTTGAACGTTACCAGGTGTTTGTCACCCCACTCAAGAATTGAATACCAGTCAGTGGTAGCTGACAGTGAATTATTTGCACATCGGGCAGCTAAATGACTCATGCTTTCAGCTGGTGATTTAAATGAGTACAATGAATAACGTCTACTGTCATTTCACCAATGACAGGCTTGAGCCCGAAATATGAATTACATAAGTTAACAGGTCACCTGTAGATACATCTTAACAGAACCAATAAATGGTTATGGCGATTCCAATTCATGGAGCTGATAGTCTAGGATAGATTCCATCACTTTGCATGTTAATGAAGTCAAGATGAGAGGACAATAATTACACATATGAGACGAAACACCATTTTACTTTTCCATTTACAAAAAGGCTGGCAAAATCCTGCCCTCTAATGAAGTTTCCATCATTGTTTGGCCAATTCGATCGCACACAGGAAATGTGCCCATAGAGACACGCTAACCAACATACAAATGCTAGACGCCTGCACTTACACCGTTGTACACATTATAATGCACATATATATATTAACACTGTGTGGTTTCATTGATTTAGTGTTCTTGTATGGACAGACTGGCAGACGGGCCTAATATATATGAGCAAAGAAATATTGGCCTATTGGCTGTCTTACAAAAGCCACTTACATGTGAGCAACAGACCCCTCAGCATGCATTAATCATATTGTACTGAAATATCCAGATATTTATTATCTATGGTTCTTTCGGTAAAGTCACGTAGATAGAAAAAATATTCTAACAATAAAATAATAAAAATAAAGTCAATACAAAAATAATTTTACAAAATATCACGACATTTCGATCGCAACACAAGCGGTCGTAGTCAGGAACATATATTATTTCACAAGAGTTCTGAAATGTCATTCATTGTTTAATTAAATTCCACTGAATATTGTCGCACATTTTTTGCACATTACTTAAAATTATATTGCTGCACGTGTCATCCTTGTAGCTGAAAATCTGATTGTTGTAAGTACATGGGCACAATTATCACTCTAACTTGCAACGATATTGCTCAAGGGAATGTATGAGGGATATTAGCAATAACAACCATACTCATTTTTGCGTGTGTATATCTTCAACAGCGTATTACAATCATAATAGATTTGAGCCATAAAGTAAAGCATATATTTATCAATATACTTTTTTCACAAATAAACAATTATCCATGATGGAAAATTTTAAACAATTATAACACAAAACAAAATACTTTAAAGTACACGGCATTGTAAATCGCATCATTTACCTCATGTGTAACTCGTGTTAATTTCTGTAGCTATAGATGCCGAGAACTCTAATATTTTATAATCCAATCTGGGCACTCGCACATATAAATTCTATTCACAATTGCATTCAATGTGGACCATATAATTCCACGAAGGCAACGTGTTTAGTGAACACCACCCTCAATCAAAATGCCATAATCGTATTTTTAATTTCATAAAGTAGTCTTTATTTTTCATCTATTTGGGTAGCAACCGAAATGCTACATCTTCCCTTACCTTGTTCGAGTGCAGACTCAAAATTATTCTCATCTCCTCTGCCTATTACGGACTGCCGCTTCACTTTGAATTGGTTTAAACAGCACCTTACCACACGATATTCTCCGTCTGCCCTGCAGTATCTTATAGACCCTATTTGAATAGCATGTCTTCAGATACAGCCACATTAATATCCTCGCTAAGTCCAAATTGTATTCTATGTTTGGCTACTACCTTGCTCTTAGGTGTGTCATTGTCAATTGTGTCCGGACAAAATATTATTCAGAATCCACCTTCATTTAGATCACGTAAAACACAGTGACTTTCATAATTTATATAAAATTTGCATAGTTGTATGCATAGCTTTTAAAGCACAGGGAGAGCCTCTCTAAGCTACAGTGATGTCCGTGACCAATATGGCAGATCCTATAATGTATGGCAGTAATCCACAGATTTGGTTCAATTATCTACAGGGGGAAACATTGTGGATAATCACGGAAAATATGATAATTTACGGTGGGGGACTCCTGCTATCCACTCCTTACAAAAACCTTCAGGATAATAGGAAGACATTCTACAAAGCAAGGGAAAATGCAGATAATAGAAATTAAAAAGTATTAGGCCGCAGATAATATCAATTTTGCGTGGATCCCACAAGAGTGGCGACTAATAGGATAGTGTTTAATAAGAATGATTATACATACCTAAAATGAGTAAAAAAACTTAAAATAAGTGTTTTAATATGAATACCATTTATATTTGATTCACAATTTCATATGCAAGGTTTTGTGTAGCATAAACTAATTTTGGTATACAGCAGTTAAATTTTAAGTTTTTAACATTAAATTCAAGCTAACTCTTCTAAATAATGATGGTTAGATTATTTTTCATAACAACCAACTTCTTCCCCCCCCCCCCCAATAAAAGCCAGGTTATGATTCGAAAAAATCAACTTAACATTATACAAATGAGGTCTGCATGAGCTAGGTGATGTGGTTGCTATGCACAATGTACACTACATGCATTCTAACACATTGGCCTTTGCCGAAGCATCGTATGGATCCCGCTCCCAAGTGTCCGATGTTGACAGCATATAAAGCAGAATACGCATGTTTTATGATTGAAGTGGAACACTTTTTTTAGTCCATGATTAGATTATTTAAATAAACGTGTACCTGCTTACATCGTGGCATGATATATCGTGACATATGGTGATATGAACTGGAAGTGATATTAACTTAATATTGCACTACGATTATTCTCAACATTGATTTTTTTTATATTCGTGAAATCACTTTTTAAATCGGTAAAACTTGTTTTAATCATATTCGCATATTCTAAATGCTGTTACGAATTCGTTAATGGAAAATACAGCTCGTAATTATAATAAAACACATGCATTTACATTTATATAGGTAAGATAAACCCACATTGTATTGTCGACTCACCCACCTACAAACTGGCCCGATTTCTGTCTGAGACTTTGCTTCCATTCACTGGCAAGACTACCTCAGCTGTACTTAATTCAGCTCATTTGGTTTCTCTAATTAAATACATCTCACTATCTCCAGGTGATTTTCTTGTTAGTTTCGATGTGGTCTCTCTTTTCACCAAAGTTCCTGTGCCTGACACAATTGCAATCATTGAAGATTTGGTCCAACAAGGACTGAATGCTGATGTACCAACCCTGGTGAGACACTGTCTTATCAACACTTACTTCCCCTGGAATGGTACATTCTACAAACAAGATTAAGGTACCCCAATGGGTTATCCCTTATCGCCAGTGGTAGCCAATGTTTTCATGAAAAAATTTGAGACGATGCCATCCAGGCATCCACTCAACGTCCTTCCTTGTGGAAGAGATACGTAGATGACACGTTCGTCATCTGGCCACATGACCCGCTAGCACTGAACTAATTCTTCAACCACGTAAATTCCATACACCCAGCCATCAAATTCACCATGGAAGTGTAAAAGATGTCAAGTTACCATTCTTGGATGTTTAATCGAAAAGAGACCAGATGGCTCATTGGGACACTCTGTCTACAGGAAAGCCACCCACACGGATGCCTATCTAAAACCTGACTCCCACCACCATCCAGGCCAGAAGAATTCCCTAATCAAAACCCTACACCATAGGGCCCATTGCATCTCCGATCAGCACCACCTAGGCAATGAACTGGAGCACGTACACAAAGCCCTCAAGATGAATGGATATTCGGACCATACAATCCGCAAAGCTGTCACCCCAACCGTAGGGAAAAAAACATCTGAGGACCCAATCAAAACCATCACCTTGCCATACATAGCAGGGGTCACCAAAAATATTTTCAAAATCATGAGCAAACACAAGATCCAGGTTCGATTCAACAAGGTACATAAAATTCATGATCTGATCCCATCTGTGAAGGATGTGATCCCTGACATGCAATACCTCGGTGTCTACAAACTAAGTTGTGGCAGTAGTTACATTGGGGAAACTAAACGACATGTCTCGGACCGTGTCCGTGAACACAAGGCGGATCTGAAACACGGCAGGACCAATACCTCGGCCGTGGCTGATCATTGTTTTAACGCTGTGGGCTCACACGATATTGACTTTTTCCAAAACGAAGGTACTCTGCAAACCCACTGGCTATCATCAAAGATTTGTTCATGAAGCCATCCAGATATATAAACAGACACAACTTCAACCGAGAAGATGGGTACAAATTGAGCAATCATTGGAAGGACATGATTAACCAGATAAAGTCTTAACTTGCTATGATGTTTCCATCCTTTCTACCAATGTTAACTAACTCTCTGAGTTTCATTACTAGGTTGGATGTCTTTGTATTGACAGGCTGGGTGTCCAATGCTTGAATAATTAAAAACATATTGGCATCAGTATCCATACATATGAAGTACATAATATACATAATATAAAGAAATTCCATGGATCGTTAATGATTAAGCATTTGTAATCTTTTATTAAGACTAGATCATGACTACATGCCAAAATTTATATTTTACACGAATATAAATACTAATCAGCATTACAATGTTATAAAGTACTGTATTTTTACCCGAACAAAGACCAACGATGGCACAAAAACAAAACTGTCACGTTTCATCCTACGAGAAGCATCTCCTACAAGTATTATGATTTCCCTTCAAATGTCCTTAGCTTTAACGAGGGACATCTAACAGAGGTTGAATATCCTTGTTGCTACAACTATACGTTTCATAACTTATTGCTATATTTTAATGGCTCATTTATACAGATTTGTACTAAAATCAGAAACATGGCACAGCGGTCATGGAAATTAAATGCCAACTCACTGTGGAGAAGTTGTTCAGGGTACAATGTCTCCCACGGAACTTGCAGTCAAGGAGCATTTCATCCAGTTGGTGGCCTGACCGGTTAATCAGATGGAGCGTTTCCAAATTGGAGACGGGTGCCGGCAGGAACATGGAAAAGTTTGCGAACTTCTTGAACCAGGTTTTTCTACCAGTGTCCTCCAGAAAATCCAGCACCTCCGGCCTGGCTGTGCCATTATCGGTCAACAGACCCAGCCAGTTGCCTGCCAAGTGCAGGTCCTGCCGTGTCATCTTGTAGAAACGCAGCAAGTTGTTGTTGCAGAAGGTAACAGTCGGAAAGGTGAGGTTGTGAACAAAGACCATTTGCATATTCGTGTGTACTGGATGGGACAATAGGTAGTGCACTCGGTTATTGGACCAAGTGAGCAGGAGGCTCACTGATGTCAAGACAGCCAAGAGCCACAAAAACCAATGACGGCTAAGGAAGATGTACTTCACACCGTGTAACTTGGTGTTGTAGGCAAAGTGATGATGGGTTTGCAACCTCGGTCGGCAGGGTAATGCATTCTGTTCCCTTGTAATAGTTTCTGGCTCCTGGTCACGCTCTGTCTCTTCCAGTTCAATCATGGCAAGGTTGGCCAAACATCAGAATAGAATACCAACAAAAATAACTCTCAAGATTCTACAAAATACAACTCTCCAAGAATTTATAAAGCAAGCTAGCTGTTTTAAACAATGCGAATTTAGTTTCTGGATGTGCACATACTACTATATTATTTTCCCTAAGTGTATAGTTTATAAGCAAAGATGGTTGAATATTTTGCATTCAATAAATGTGTTTTATATACATTATTAAAGTAAAAGTATATCAAAATGTAATGCTTATCCTATTATAAACACGTATTCAATTATAATGCTTTCGTTTATATATTCAAGAGAAGCATAATACAATAACAAATGTGAAAAAATACTGTACTTCCCATCGGCAGAATCATGAACTCACTGACGGTAACTTGATCTTCAATTCATTCAGCTCTTACATTGAGTATTCCATTTCGTTAACGCAGCAGTTTCCACGTGTTTTTTTCCCGATTTCCTTTCAAATTCCAAACACAGCAGCACTCTTGACCACCGTGTTACCGGCAAACTGCGCTCCAATGACCTTTTTTCCACAGGCGCGAATGGTATTCCTCGTCAGATTTCACGCCAGCGCACATCCAGAGATGTGACGTGTCAGCTGATGAGCCACCCAGTGAGGAGGCAGCCTCCAACACAGAAGCTCACCGAGCCGATGTTCTGATAACGGTGACTTCACGCTGCGAGTGTTTTTTTTTAAATAAAAGCAACAACAGTGCCTGGAATTGTCTTGCTATCGACAGTGGGATGCACACTGCCCTCACAAGGTTTAACTGATGTCTTACAGCACACCGAATGTCAGGGAGACACACCCCGCCTTACAGCCACACTGAACTATTTTGTAAATTATCCAAATACTAAAGGCATATCACACAACGGTTTTTTTGTAACGCGCGTCTAACAGCTTTGTCAAATTGTCTACATTGTAGGTTTTCTTTAGTTTACCAAGATGACTATCCCAATTATGAACAGATGCATCACGAAACAGTGTATGTACGTATATAACAATGTATAACTGTATGCAACAGATGCTTTTACAAGTTAAGAAAATTTATAATACAAAAATTCCAACAAATTTGGACATTGCAAACATCAAAAGATCTAAAAGGTGCCTTTAGGCATGTCTATGCAATCTGCTTGAGATGCAATTGATAATGATGATAGTCCGTATCATATGAATATACTATCAACGTAAACCTTCGCTGGAGTATGCAAACAGGAATGCATTTCGGAGAAAATACTTAAATAAAAGAGTGTGACAGACAAGTCACTATTTGATTAATTATTTACGTTGCAAGCAGTCCCATCAGTGAATGCTGCCCTCTTCCGTCTCTCCACAGATTATCAGGATAACGCGTATCACTCCACAGATGATGTGCATATACCGGAGCACAAAACTGTGGAGAATAACGCAATTATTACTCACCTGCCCTGAAACAAATTCCAGTAACTGTCCTTGCTAAAGTTGAAACTCATAGTTAAAACATAATTAATTGTGACCCAAAAGGTGATTAGTGTTCAACTTATTTCACAGATGAATGATCAATAGGCATCACCTGATGATGGATGTTCTATTACATTTGCAGCAGTCACAGTCAATGCCTTTTTATTGTTTTTTTTACATTCCATAAATTTAGTGCCCATTAATGTATATAGTATAGACCCGACACAGTGTAGATGAAATGTGGATTTGAACACGTAATCATTGGCCAACTTAAACAATTGCACAATATAATATATGCATATGTAATGAAACAATATAACATACGCATGAACAAAGACTGTTGATGTTTAACTTTCACAAATTTCACGCATAAAATTGCCTAGTAGACAATTTGGCTTGGGCAGGATATGTCAATGGAAGGGATGAAGGCTGATGGTTGAGATTGATAGAATGGAGCGACAAGGCAGGTCATGTGCAGGAGTAGACGGATCATTTCATCGTGAGACCATGAGGAATAGCGACCACTTCGGAAAGCCTTTATCCAGCAGTGGATAAATGATGGGTGATTCTTCTTGGTACTTTCGGTAAAGTCACGTAGAAGGGAAGTAATAAAATAATAAAAATAAAACATAATAAAATAATTCTCACGACCTGAGGACGGCTGCTTGCGTTGTGGCCGAAACGTCGTGAGAATTACTTTATTATGTTTTATTTTTATTATTTTATTACTTCCCTTCTACGTTACTTCATCGAAAGAACCAAGAAGATGAATCCCTGCAGTCACGAAAGCTTTAAATCGAAATTTGATGGGTGATTATTAGGGTATAACTGAGTGCACTGACTGATGGAAAGTCTGAAGATGCTCTAGAAGACATGAAGAGCTGTAATTTTGGTACAAATATAGTTGAGACTATGGTTTCAACTAGAAAAATACGATATCCCACATTTTTTTAATTTTGAGCCCCAGAAAATTGGGAGGTAACAACTGAAAACTATCGTTCAAATTTCAACTACAGGTAAAATAAAAACAACTTGGTTCCATCAACTCAGACTTATCACAAACTGCTTGACACGGTCACACATGAGACAGCACATTTACGAAAGGGAATTGCCCATCTGCACAAACATTTTGAGAGTATTTATTTTTTAAAGAATTAAGATTCATATACACTCTACATAATAGCCACAAATATGCTGTATATTAAAAAAAAACAGCTGAAGAGCCTAAATAATATGCTGACACAGCCCAGCAATTCATGACAAATACTTTGAGCATAGTCAATCGGAACCTACAACCGTGTTAAAAAAAATTGTAACGGCACTGCAGCAGGCGTCCACTTAACACTTAGCTTGACGATCAGTCATTAGAAGATGTGATAGCATTTGTCCAAGCAGTCGACATCCATTATGAAGCCTTCACTCCGTACAGCTGATTGAAAAAGATCAACATCTTTACTGATTGGAATTGATCTCGGCAATGAGAATTGGTCACAAGGTTTCCAGGTCAGTAACAATTCCAGCTCTGGTAATGTGTGGCTGGAGCAGCTTCACATTTTAATCCTAAAGCTGGGGGGATGAGGATTTGACGTTCCATTTGTTTTGTCAACACTGGACGACCAATGACACTCATTGGAAAAGCAAGGCATTGCACGTTAGGTTTCAAAACGAATGTAAACATTTGAGCAAAGAGGAATATGTTCCACGGCCGTCCTGACTGCAGGAACAATGCGTCATATACGGTATTTGCTAATTTACGGGTAAAAATATATTGCATTGCGTAAATTAATGTAAAGTGCTTTGTCGACTAAAGTGGTTAATCCAAACACTCTTAAACAGTGAACGTATGTATAAGGAGAGCTTTTTTTGCCGCTCGTCACACAAGCTCTTTTCCCCTAATTTTAACACAGCTATTAAAAAAGTCATCTTGTTTTATTTGGCTCTTACCTTCCCAATTGAGAACCCGTTTCTACATATATAAAAAAATGCACGTTTATTCATTTGCATTCGGATACGGCAGATACAACGTGTTTTGAAAATTGGTCAGATAGAAGATATAAAAGACCTGCCAAATAAGATTGCTTAAAACGATGTTTTTTTATGTGTATGGAACATATGCTCTCACCATGCACATTTGCCACAGATTTTCTTTTAAAATACTGAATACAGCATAATACACTATCAGCTCTTCCCAAAGAGTCTGCTATAGTCTGTAGATTGCGATTGCTGTGCATGCTTTTCAGCATATGTAAGCATGCAGGCCATGTATTCTATATAACAAAGCCAGGGTTGGAAACATCCAAGATGAACTATACATGCCAGAAACGCATGCCCTATCGTCCCATTTCAAACAAATACTAACGGGGCAGTAAATATACCAGCCGTGAGCTTTCTCACGAACGTGGTGGCTGGACAATTTGCAAGCACCCCAGCTTCCAATGAGGCTGGTCTTGTGGAACAAAGCTCTAATGAAGCTCCCTGGTATTTCAATAAACTACTCAATCAGTTCATTTATTGATTTCAAGTAACCATAACCTTCAAATGGAATAGAAGGGACTGAATGTGGTGCCTTCTCCAGTTGGATTAATGCATCGCTTCTGGAAAAAAAATCTGGAAACAACGAGAGTAGTTGTAAGGTTGTGACATTTACACTGTTGTAAATATTTAATGTTTGCAACCACATTTGTACAATCTAGAAATATAAAGGACATTTAATGTAGGGCAATGCACGTTTCTTGAAGAACAGCATTGGCTTCGTGAAATACAGTAGAGTATTAAATCTGGCTTTCCACCTGAACATTTTAGCAAAGTTCTAAGGTTATTATTATAAGGTTATTATTGTCGACTATTAAATACCATACACCACCGCTTTCACACAAAAGGCAATTTCCATTCATGTCATAAACTCTTAATTATCCCTGCTCAATTTACATTTCTCAGACCAAAAAAGTAGAAAATGCAAATGCAATACAGTACCACTTATACGTGAATGATCTTAATCTACATCATTTATATAACACACACTTTTACAGTCTTTTTTAAAATATAAATGATTGCCAAAAAATACTGTCAAATATCACGATATAGAATATTCACGATTGTGCCGCATAGCTCTCTGATGTGTCTTCGGGTTGTTATTGTGCGTTATTTGGCATGATGTCCAACATTTAAGTGCAATTGCTGAGAGATTCTTCAAGAACCGAGGAAATTAAGCTCCCAGAAAGTGGAGCATGTCGGGAATCATGCCGAACAAGACGTGAGACAATCCAGAAACACATCGGAGTATGATCAAATCCATTTGTATCCCAAGAGGCTGAGTATATTGTCATAACTGGTTTCATATAACATGCATCGTAGCTGTTTCAATCATTGTGAAAAGTGCTGTAGTTAAAATGTACACTTTGAAACTTTATTTCATTTCCAAAAAGTGGAATGAACTAGTATATGGGATGTGCAAGCTGTAGGCTCGCATGGGCTTTCTCATCTGCCTCCTATGCCAGGCACCTGCTGGATAAAAAGAAAGTTACGCTATCTGATATTAGAGCAGTGCTCATGCAAACAGTTAATTGAACAACGTACCAAGAATTTTCACTTTTTTTTTATAAACCATTTTTTTCTTTTTTATAATAATGATTCATGGTCACCACCGTTCAGTCCTATATAATGACACAACATGTCCACTAGGTGGTACCATTAATATGGCTGAATCAAAGCCACGTCTGTTACAGACTTTGCATGACATCTGTCGGACAATAAGAATTCTACTTTTGAAATAAGGCTTAGTATACACCGCATACAGACCTGTGTACAGGATACCACCATTCTCTAGACACAGTGTAAATTGTAAATGAATCCAATATTAAAGTTACCGCACAATGTATTGATTAACTGATTAAAATAAAATATGATGCTTACGATACGTTCATACTCCTGCGTGAGAATAGATCAGTTATAAATGCATGTAGTGAACAAACCTGTACAAATTTGTCTTCCGCTACCCACCCTTAGCACCTCTGATGAGATGATTTTGTTTGGCTACATCTTAAGAAGTGTGAACATGGTCAATTTGGGGCGACCAACCTAAATTAGATTTCCCTCCGGGACGTGATTTCCGAATCAGTCATTACCCCCTCCCATTACCCCCCCCCCCCCCCCCCCATTAAC